ATTGTGCGCCCTAGCGGACGAAAAAATTACCTTTTGAATATGCCTAAATCATAATTTTCAGATGATTTTGGTTACCAAAGATGCGATGAAATTAAGACAAAAATCATTAGATGTGTACGAACTGTGATATCAACACTGATAATTCACGGATATCTTGTCAAAAAATGCTGGCTAAAAAATCTCCAAATCGCTGTATTGGATGTAATGGTTCCATAATTTTGCCGATATGTTCATATATTCAAATGTATATTTTCGTCCACTGCAAGATGTAAAAGAAAGAAATACACACTTTCTACATAAAACGATATCGATAAGCTTGAAAAACATCTAAAAAAAAAAAATGAATTAACACAAAACTTTTTTTTTCATGATATTCGTCTTTAAAAACTGTTTACAGAACACTTTTCATGACATTAAAAATAAAAGAGATAGTTAAGTGATGATTTTTCAGCTGAAACACTCTGTATAATTTGAAGTTCAATAAACTGTATTTAATTACTGTACTACCTTTCTGGTCCCGAATTATTTGGACTTCGATACTCGCAATACAAGAATAATAATTTTATATCTTTTTATTTCCATACAATTATCTGTCAAATGTATATTAAAAGTTATTGTTAAAATGATTAATAATTCTATTAATAATTCTAACAAATAATTCAAAATCAAATATAAACATAATTACTATATACACGATAACATGTGATTTACTAATATATTAATTATTGTTTTATAATAATAATGTATTAATTATAATTTTGATTGATAGAATTTCTGTGCAATTAAAGTGATTAAAAGGTTTAATAATTTGTTATAAATACTTGGACGTATTAATATCGAATAATTAAATTCTTTTTTCATACCTATTTCGTAAGTAAAAATACATTTGTTATTTTATTGTAATTCAAAATTCAAGAAAATGTTTCTTACAAAATTTGCATAGCTTTATGAGAATTATTAGAGTATAATAAAAATAATTTTGTTCTATCTGTCAAGGACATTGATGGTTTAATTAAGTATTGAAACAATAATATTTATTTAAAATAAAATTGTATAATTATTAATTTTAGCTTTTGTAAGACACTTAATTTTATTATTAGTTTCCTTATATAATTTTCACTAATTTTTGAAAATGTTAATGAGATAATAAAATTAATTTTTTTTTTTTTACTGGAATGTATTTTATTTATTTGTAAATAATAGTTCATTCCATAAACTGAAATTATTTCATAAGCTGAAGTAATAAAGTACCTACATAATGTTACAGATAATTGAATTTATTTTCGAAAGAGCAAATAATTATAATTTCTAAAAAATAATTATAATTTTTAAAAAATATTTAGAAAATGTTTTTTAAAAAAAGATTTAGTTAATCTTATGATTAATCTTGTAATTAATATTTTGCAATAACGTAAAATTATTTTTCTATATGAAATTATATAATTTTATCGGAAACATTTTGCCAATTTTTTACATTATTGTGGAATAATACAAGTGATAAAGTAAGATAGTACGTCATTGTCGAATAATACAAGTGACGAAGTAAACTAAGGTAGTAAAGTTATCTCTCAATATCAGCAAATTTTTAACAAATAAAAAAATAACTGAGTCTTACAAATCAATATACAGTAATTGTAATGTATTTAAAGAGATTTAGAAAGATCAACAAAAAATTCCTAACGTAATGAATTCAAATTTTCATAAATATCAATTCTGTTTTTGTAAGATCGAAA